GGTCTGCTGCGGCGAGTGTCTCCAGCACATTTTCGCGCGTCAGGCCGAGGTCAGAGGTCGGGTCGTACGCGTACTGCAGAAGCCGCCCCGTGACGTCAGAACTGACGCTGTCGTCATGCAGATAGACTACGTCAGAGGCCGCCTCCTGCCAGCCGGGCCCGTCAAACATCGTCCGGAAAAAATCACTGAACACCACCAGGATGGCTTTGTGGGCCTGGCGAAGAGGGTGACAAAAAAAAAAGTCATGAGAATATACGAATATAACGTGTCCGTCAAATAGATAGTCGAAGTCAAGCACTGCATTTTCTTACTCATCATATACTGTACATACATATCGTAATGATATAATTAGGTACCAATATTACAATTTTTGACAGCGGGAGGGGGACATTAAACAATGCACAAAATGTACCGGATGCAAAGAAATCAAAACGTTCAGATGAATGTCTAGACGGTCTTTCTCCAAAGATTGCAAAATGTCATCCCCAGTCTATACTAGCCACATATACAAGTATACTTATAATAGTTAGTCTAGCCTTATGAAATTGTACTTACATATGTACCAGTAGATGGCAAAAAATTATCTATTTCTGTGTTCTTTAACCAGAGAAGCACTACTCAGTGGCTTAGCACTGCTTTACAGAGTGGCCCCATAAATTCGTACAAGACAATATATATGCAAGACAAGTACGGAATCAAACACAATCGTAATCCATAATCGTAGTCGAGGTCAAGTTATTGATGTTCATCAAAGTTTGAAAATTTATTTCTATTCCAAGTTACCTGAAATTTGCGGTGCCCGTCCACGATGACCGTAACGTCCGTGAACAGCTCCTGTTCCAGGAGGATCCTCAGGTTGAAGAGCGGATGGGGGTCGGTCCCGCGGCCCGCTACCGTCTCAGACATGATCCGTACTGACTGTCTATTCCCGTGGTCCGCAGCGCCTTTTACTCGGGAGTCGGGAGGCCTGTAAACATAGCCTCCTTCGCAGACTTCTGAGGCTGCGCTAATTTTTTTTTTCGGGGAGCGACGCGAGTTATGCCCCGTCCCCCCGCCGCATAACTTGCGTTATTAACGACATTAACGCCGCATCAGAAGTCTGCGAAGGAGTCTACATGTAAACAGGGATACTAGTAGTCTTGAACCTTACTCAGGACACGTTGTGTTTCTAAAAAGAGAAATGCAGGCTTTATCCGTCAAGGCCGCCCGAAATCGGACGCGCCACGATGCCATGTTGGTATGGAGGCTGTCCCGGGAACTGGGGGGATTTCTGGTGGATAGAAATAGAGACACTGCGTGCTCTTTCCCGAGCCTTGAGCATAATCCGGAGTTTTCATGCTACATACTCAACTGACATCAACGTCAGCATTTAAAAACAGACTTGCGTTTGGCCTTACGTTATTTCGTAAACACAAACAAAACTGACAACAAACAACTTTTCCACTCCTTATTTAATGTTTGTTCAAGAGAACACGTCACAACGTCACAATCTCTTTAATGATAACATTTGCTACCTCTCTTATTAGCAGTTACTAATATACTCCAGTCAAATGATACAGTAATCACATAGTTATAGCTATACTTTTGTGATTAGCACAGATCTATACTCCGGACAACACATGCCATAAATTGTTTAAGTTTAAGACAAGAAAAAGGTATCAAGAAGAAAATATAGTTTCACATCATTCCTAGTCAAGACATTCAGGACAGATAGTGCTTTCCTGGAATAAAGAAAAGCCTACCATGATACAATATCATTGATTATAATCTAACTTTTCAGGATTGGATATCAGGCAGACATGTAAGCTATAGGACTATTAGGAGTAACTCAACACTTGGAACTGTACAAAAGTACTTCCAACATAAAATTTAATCTTCAACAACGATATCTGTAATGTATCTGTACTGTGAGTAAGGATGAAATTCTAGCTGACTCCGTTATTTTTATGTTAAGTACATACAATTTTTTTCTTTCACCGAACCTCAGAACTAAGCATGAAGGTAATTGTGGATCCAAATAAAGTCAACGCCATGTGAAGACATTATTTTGTTGGAAAATAAACCTGTCATTACTATCATCAATATCATCATCATCATTCAAAACCATTAATTCTGGCAAGTCAAGTTTACATGCAGGCAAAAACTTGTAAATGTGAGTCTGCAATACGTTGCATAAGTAAGATGTCAAAACATTATTATTACCAATGAAAAACTACATTATTGCGGAGAAAAGCTCTGTACATGGTCTCCGTGTCCAAAACAGGTCCTCAGAAGGCACAGCTATTCTTTGAAGTCCAAGGCCAAGTTAAAGAATCACATGAAGCGGAAGGTGGTGCCGGTGCGGATGACCTTGCCGTCCTCCTGTAGAAGGTGTCCGCCCTCGTCGAACAGGTCTCTGGGCAGGTACTGTGGAACAAGAGACAAACACTTACACGTTATGTCTACAGAAAAATGGCTACAAATATCCTACATTCTAAGTGTCCAAGTAGCATGGTATTATTGTGTGGCCCTGTGCAATATAAGCAATTATAAAAAGGAAAAAAAAAAGTATTACAGTGTAATAACTTTTTGCCTGATTGCATAAACAGTGCTATTCTTTTGTTTACTGTCTCTTCCACTCATCTAGCACTATTGTTCAGTCTGTACTTAGTTGGATTCCTTCTATCAAATCATGTAGGATTTGTTTTTGTGTGTGTGTGTTTTTGTGTGTATTTAGGTTCTGTTTCTGTATTTTTAGCTATGGGCCAGTGAGTGCCTGAAGCAAATAAATGAAATAAATAAATAAGCAACGGCAAGACTGACCCCTTCGGTAGCGGCGCGGATGGCGTCGTAGATGACCTGTGACTTGGCAGTGCGAGGTTTGCTGTTGGCCGCCCACCACTTCATGATCTCCTGGGCGATCTCCTGGCGCCGTTTCCGCGCCGCGTCGCTCATGCCGGTCGTCAGGATGTTGATGTCCACCACGCCCGTGCTCGGGTCTGTTGCGGATTGTTTCAGCGCCTCGCGGTGCAGTCTGGGTGAGAAACCAATTTTGATTTTGGATTTTATTGAAATTGCAACAATGCAATACACACGGAGCAGAGGCAGCTGTTGCTGGTGTTGTGTCCTGCACACAGAAACGAATACTGGACAGACAAAACTCATTTTCACTTGAGTCTAGTGGGGAAAGTCGTGTAAAGTGCCTTTCCCAAGGGCAAAAGCTCAGTGGCATGTCAGGACTCGAACCCGGGACCTCTTGCTTCCGATTCGCGCACACCGCCATTGCGCCACAAGACCCCATGTGTGTGTGTCAAAGGCACTGCATTACACCAGGGATCTAGCCAGCTCGAAATGTTTTTCCGTCAGCCCAGGTTCATGATCAAACCTGGGGGGGGGGGGGAGAGTGCTAGCTACCTAGGAGGAGTCTGGGGACAAATTTAGGATTTTCAAGCCTTGGTTTCAAAATGCTCGGGTCTGTCGCCGACTGCTTCAGGGCCTCGTGGTGAAGTCTGGGTAAAAAATCGGTGTGTCAAATGTCGGTAAAGCTAGTTCCATAGAACAGAAATGCCAGGGATCAAATCCGTGACTGCTCAATCTCGTCTTTGCTAGCAACTTGGCCATTTGACAGAAATTCACACCATAAAGTGAGTGATCTGAGTGTCACAAGGCTTCAATTTTCAGTTTATTCTGCTCACTGTCGAGCCAGAGACAACACACACTCATATATATATATATATATATATATATACTAGTATACAGGTTATACCCAATTGTGGCTGCAAAGATAGAAAATTTACCTTTTGGCCTCTTCCACATCAACCAGTTCCACAACGCTCGAAAACCTGAAATGGGAAATAAGAACATCATTCCACTGAGATTGCTCAGTACAATGTAGCTTTGAGCTAAATTTGCAGGAAATAGTGTTTCTATGTGGCTTTGCACTAATCAAATCTTGTTTAAACAAAAAAAAAGCACAGAGAGCGTACCTGATCTTGGCGTGTGCCTCTGCCAGCCGGATGAGTGACTCCAGCTGGCGCGGGTAGGCCGACACGTTGCCATGCCCGCTGCCCAACTTCCGCGCCTCCACGTACGCCTGGATAAACGCCTGGCTCGCCTCCTCACTCATCTTGGGCTGGATGTTGGTCCTCGCGTAGCTGATGTAGTCCTTCAGCAGACTCATGTCCTGGTGAGAACAGAAGGAAACGTATTACAGACTTTGAAGATACTGCTTCAGCTTATGATCTATTATACAGTGAAACTTGTATAAGAAGACCACCCTGGGGACCCAAGGAAAGTGGTCTTCTTAGACAAGTGGTCTTCTTATCCAAAAAGGAGCCCGGGTCACACAAGACAAAGACACTGATGTTGAAGTTCATGTCTTTATTTACATATGTACTTGTCACCATTGCAGATCCATTACAAAAACTATTTTAACATTGCAATCATTACATACATGCACTTCATATTAAGTATAAAGTAAGATACCAGATGTAAAAAGTAGAAAACTAACACTACAGTAAGTAACTTGACAGTCAATAAAAACAGAGCAAGTAAGTCATCAAACTTCATTTCACAAACTGAAACATTTGTCATGTCATCATACATCATACAAATGTGGTTTACACAAATCATTTCATCATCTAACACTACAGTAAGTAACTTGACAGTCAATAAAAAGAGTAAGTCATCAAACTTCATTTCACAAACTGAAACAATTTTTGTCATGTCATCATACATCATACAAAGGTGGTTTACACAAATCATTTCATCATCTATTTTGCCTTGAAGTTGAAGAAATCGTGGATTTTGGTCTGTTTTGCAGCCATCTGCCTCTCACTCCACACACTGCTCAACATGTCATCAGCCTCATGAAAGATGTTCAACAGATCCCCAAGTCCCTCCTCAGCACACAGCTGCTTAATGTCCCTCATTACACTCACAAGACTGTTCAGGTTGGGCACCTTGGACTCCCTCCTGTCGACTGCTCCACCCTCACTCTCGTCCTCATCCCCCGAGTCGTCTCCCCCCACGTCGGCATCCTCGAGCTCCCCCCAGCAGAGTGTGTGCGTCTTTCCCCCAGTCCCTCACGTTGTTGTCACAAGTTGAGAGATCCCTGGTCGATCGCAGCAGGCTCGCCGAAGCCGCACCCAAACAGTTCCTGGGCGAGCTCCTCCATTGCAGGATGGTCTGTCGTAGTCTGGTCCTCTTCTGGGCCCTCTGAGTCAGCACTGGCTGCTGCAGAATAATAAAAGAAAAAGAAAAGAAAAATAAAGACAATTGTACATTTGCCTGGTTACTTTGCTGGTTACCCATCAACATATCAACAATGCATTTGTGTTATCCTTTGTGTCATAGCAAACAATGGGAATGTTATGCAAACACAGCAATTATGCATCTCTTACATTTAAAAAACACAACACAATCTGAACAGGTAAAAATTTCCAATGGCATCTCAACAATGTTGTTTGAAATGAATAAGTAACTCACCTGTTTCACAGAAGCCGGCCTTCTTGAAACACTTCTGGATGGTGTCCTCTGAAGTCTCCTGCCAGGCGGACCCCACGAACTGGATGGCTCCAAGATGGTCAACGCTTGGCGACCTGCAAACCGGTGGCTCTTTGTCGTCTTGTAGCTCCTGCAAGATTCTCCTGAGTTGACGCTTCCTGTACTTCAGTTTCAGTGTCTGGATTATCCCCTGATCCATGGTTGCAGTCTCGATGTCGTGTTTGGTGGGAAAAACTTGAGTTCGATGTTTTTCAGCGAAACATCGGGGTGGCTGGGCGCGTTGTCCAGGAATAACAGAATCTTTCGATTCTGTCGCCCGATCTTCTGGTCAAACTTCTTGAGCCACTGGGTGAACAAGGCCGACGTCATCCACGCTTTGGAGTTGTTCGCGTAAGTCACGGGGAGGGTCGACAGCTTCACGTTCTTGAAGCACCTGGGCTTCGCCGATTTGCCGATGATGAGGGGTTTCTCTTTTCCCCCGGCCATGTTTGCACAGAGGACGATAGTCAGTCGGTCTTTGGCCTGTTTTCCACCGCTGCACTTTTCACCCTTCACTGCCAAAGTCTTGTTAGAAGTTGTCCGGTAGAAAAGGCCAGACTCGTCCATGTTGTAGATGTTCTCTGGGGAATACCCGGTCGTGATGTTGGGAATCTTCTCCTTCCAGTTGTCAACCACTTGGCCGTCAACACCAGCACTTTCTCCCACAATGGTGCTGTTCCCGACACCGTGGCGTTTCTTGAAGCTGTCGAGCCATCCGGTAGATGCCTTGAAGCCCTCCACTCCCAGTTCTTCCGCAAACTTCAGGGCTTGTTCTTGCAGCATCGGCCCGCTGATTGGAACGAGGCGCCTCTTCATGTCGCAAAGATTCATAACACAACTTGTTGATGCCCTCGTTACCTGTATGCCGCACGTTCCTTCTCTTGCTGGCTGGAGCGTTGTTCTCGTAGTCCTCTCGGTGCTCGGCCTTTCTCTTGATAATGTTCTGGATCTGTGTCTTGCCAACGCCGAAGTCCTTGGCAAGGCCACGCGCTCCTACCCCGCCAGTCTCGTATCGCCGGATTACTTCTAACTTCTCTCCCAACGTCAACGTTTTCTTCTCCGAAACCTTCCGCTTGCTCGCCATGGCTTTCGTACTGAAGTAACTGAACGCTGAACTGATCACCATCTTTTAAAGAACTCGGTAGAAAGTTGTCTGAAAAAATTCTCGGTCGGTATTTTCTTTGTTCCACCCGCTGGTGAGCTTGGCTTTGGTTTCAAACACAAAGGAAAATCGGCAAAGTCGAAGTTTAAAGCACTAGTTAAAGAGCCGACCGAACCACCACTCAACACCACCATCATCTTTATTCCGCCGCCCGTGAGCTTGGCTTGGGTTTTAGAACAATGGGAAATCGAAGATAAAAGGACAAGCAAAAAACTTGTCTGGAATCCGTCCGCCATTTTTCTTTGATCCGCCTGGCTTGGGTTCCAAAACAGCAACGAAAATCAAGTTACCTCGCCGAGAGTATTAATCGTTGAAGCAACACCCGAATTCTCCGAACAATCCTCCTCTGAAGCTGCTAATCATGAACCAACGATTGCAGTTTTCCGAGAAGTTACGGCTTTTTTTGTAACAAATTACCGATTCTTCTGGAATGTTCTTTGTTTACAAAATTCTTCTCTGGGACATTTCACTAGCTTCGAGGGCAATCATCTTCTTAAAAGAAGAATTACCGTTAATTAAAAAATATAAATGAAGTCACACACATTTCTATATACCTTTTACTTTATTGAAGCAACTTCTAGTATGAATATTTTCGTACTTTATACGGTTAAAAGCAGAATAAATGTACGATACACGCAGCATCCCCCCCACAAAAAAGTAGGCTGTCCCTATGACCCGACATGACCTTTGGGCGCCATTTTGAATCTGCTCGGCGGCGCGGCCAGCCGAAAATGACGCGGTCGTTTCAAGCAAGTTGTGATCGCCTGCGGACCAACTTGGGGTGGTCGCGGTCACAGAAGACAAGTGGTCTTCTTGGGCAAAATCCTTAATGCTTGTGGCCTATGGGAGAAAAAATCGGGACCGTCAAAAACCGGTCGTCATAGGCCGATGGTCGTTTTAAAGACGTGGTCGCTGGACCAAGTTTCACTGTATCTGCATCAGTACCCGTATAACTGGTTTAACTGACCATCGGTGTAACACACCAGCTTTGCAGGCACATGGAACAATGGCAGCTGGATATATTACACCAAACAATTACATGTTACACCTAAACTTTGAACATCTACTAGAATAACCAACCATTTTTTGGACCGTACCATTATACTGGGGACAGGACACTAACTACGCTGACTTGGTGGTTTATTCGGTGGTTATCTCACCATATACATCTTGGGGCAGAGCATTAACCCTTTAATATTAAACAGTATTATGTTAAACAGTATAATATTAAACAATGTTATTAATAACCAATAGTCGGTTATAATAAACATAACCGACCATCTCGTCAGCCTGTTCCTCCTCAGGACTCCTGTAGTACAGAGACACCAGGTGGTTCGCCAGGCGACGGTCAAAAATCTCGTCTTGGGGGTCCAGGATCAGGAAAATCAGGTCAAACCTACAGAGAGAGACGTAAGAACTTGTTAGTCAAGACATGGATGATGCAAATTAGTTAAGAAGCTCCTGTTGTTTCAGAACAGGAGCTTAAGTGTTGTCTGTCCTTGGGGCTGGGAGCGCCAAATCCCAAGTGCCTGAGAGTTCTAAATTGAAAGCTATTGAATGCAGAGCCTCTTTTTCCTTCTGCAAAATTGCAGATTGTATAAATTTTTCTTCTGCAATCTTGAAACTCTATCTGCAGACTGCAGACAGGTATTTCGAACACTGCAGATGGAAAGGAAAAGTCTCGGCCTTATGTCTCCCAAGGGATGAAGAGGATAAATAAGTAATTAAGTAAGTACAGTCAAACCTGTCTATAGTGGTCACTCAAGGGACTGGCCAAAATTGACCACTATGGCCAGGTGACCACTATAGAGAAATGGCGGTTAGTTCGCCCCCGCCCCCCAAGTGACACATGCTTTCAGTACCATTGAACAAAGATGTATTTATGTCTTTATTCTCAAACATATGAAAACATTCATTGCACAGGTAAGTCTCTTTTCAAATGTAACATTACATGTTATAATTCAATTGTTGTTCTTTTGCTTTAGTTGTGGGCTTGAAAAAAAATTATATATCAAAAACTGCATGCACTCGACATGATACTCAGTTGATCTACTGGGACTATGAAACCTTCCCACTAAAATATACAAAATCACTGGTTGCCATTTACTGTTCTTGTATACGTGTAACATCGATGTTACCTACAGAAAACTTGAAAGCGAATCAAGCAACAAAGTTTCTGTCGACTCCAAGCCATGTTTCTTCCGACTGCAAACTTTAATCTAAGCTCCTTCTCACTCGCTGTCAGTTGAATCACATCAACCTTGTGGAATAAGTTCGACGTCTGTCTTTCCGCTTTTGCCATCGTTTCTCCGCAAAATTATCGCCACGTTACTAGTACCGTAAGTCGAAAAGTGGAAGAGAATGACATCGCCACGTTTTTGTTCTTTGGTGAGTGCTTCGCATGACCGACATCGCCACAACGAATTCCAACCATGTAAACAAGATTTTTTGTACCAAGATACTGTCCATTTAGTTAACATTAAAATAATTGTTCATCTGTTGCCGTTTATGTTCCGTTTTTTGGTCATTTTTGAACATGAAAACGTAGCGAAAACTTTCCTTTGTTTACGGCTTGGGTTTCTTCCGGCGTGGGTTGTCTGCCTTTACCATTATGCCAATGTGGTGGTCAACAAAAATAGTGCTCCTTTCAGGCTTACATATTTTGTAGAATATTCACTACAGACTTAAGTTTACGATGGAAATTAGTTTTAATAATGTATTCCAAATATTTTTGTAATGTAATCACGCCATTCGATGCTATAAAATTTAATAAAAGTCGGTACATCTACCTCCAAACCAATGGAGTCTTCCGATGACCCCAATTGACCTGATTGTTGCGAGCTGCCTGCGCCATTTTGAAAAATCACGAAACGCATTTTCTCAGCCCAAATTTCTTGAATTGTGCCCGTGAAAAAGGGAAGTTGGCCACATATTTATGCTTTTTAAGGAATCGAAAAATCAAATATGGATATTCGTAAGTTTTTTGTAAGGATGATTGCCGCAATCTTCGCCGAGTCCACTGAAAGCACCGCGGCACGCACGACATGGTGTTTCAGATATCAAAGACGTCAACACGAGCGACCGCAAAAATTTCGTGTCAAAATCAAGTTTTCCTTTATTTCATACACATCTGGAGTCTAATTTCAGTTCACATTTTAATAATGTAGCGGCCACAAAATTATCACAAGGCTTGATTGAACGTCCTAACGGCCGTAGCCCGAGGTCGGGTGCACGGGTGGTGTTACGTACGTGGTGCTTAGCGGGTAACAGCCGGCCAGCCGTGACCGCTATCGGCGATGTTGACAGCCGGTGGGACCGGAATGGGGTGACCGCTGACCGCGTTGAACAGTGACCGCTATATACGCGATTCTTAATGCTTACGTCAATGGGAAAAATTCAAGGGACCGGCAAAAACCGACCGCTATGGCCGGGTGACCGCAATGCCAAGGTGACCGCTAGTACAGGTTTGACTGTACCTGGACAGCAGAGTGTGTGGAAGATTCAGGTTTTCGATGATGTTCTTCTTGGGGTTCCACTGAGACTCCACGGGGTTGGCTGCAGCCAGGATGGAGGTGCGAGCGTTCAGACTGCAGATGATACCGGCCTTCGCGATGGACAGCGTCTGCTGCTCCTGTTGTTAGAAAATTTGCAGAAAAAAATCAGTTTTTTTATCTTGTGTCTGCCCACTTGTTACCAAGGCTTTTCTTCAATGTCATTTTCTTAAATACCGTATTCTTGAATAATGGTACCATTTTCTCACTACTAGCAAGAATCCTGAGCATGTTACTCCAACTGAGGGGTGTTGCTCAGTGCCCAGTCAAGATCAAGATCAAGGTATGGGAAAAAATGACTGTGCCATATAATTTTGAATGAAATATTACACAATGATTGACTGAATGATACCCTTACCATGACTTCATGTAGGATGGAGCGGGTACTTTCATTCATCTTGTCAAACTCATCAATACAGCACACACCGTTGTCACTCAGGACCAGGGCTCCCCTGGAATAACATGTTTGTTTTAGTCTATTTACTCACTTAACTCTGGAGTTGCAAGATAATACAACTTGTAGTACATACAAAATAAATACCAGAACGGGTAAAAAAAGTCTTGCCATTTGACATTCAAATGCAAGTAATGTCTGTCTTGTCTCGAAGACAGAGAAGGTACAGACTCACAGGAATTCCTATAATCTTACACAGCGCTTTTGTGCACCTTCAGTTACCTGTATTACACAACTCGGCACCTGAAATGAGAGTATGGAGTAACACCATACTTTTAGTATTAAGTCTACTGAATGAGACAAAACCAGAGTTCCTTACGTTTGCAGGACGAGCTGCCTGGTCTCCGGGTCCTTGGTGATGTAAGCTGTAAGCCCGACTGCGCTGGAGCCCTTGCCGGAGGTGTCCTGGCTACCTAACACCTTACAGTTCTAAATCTACTGAATAGGAAAAGTTCCTCACGTTTGCAGCACCAGCTGCCTGGTCTCAGGGTCCTTGGTGATGTATGCAGACATCTAACCATCTTCCTGCTACCTAACACCCTAGAGTTCTAAACCTACTAGGCAGAGGGACATCTTACCTTTTCCCTGCTGCCTAATACCCGGTACGTTAAGAGTTATAAATCTACCGAATGAGAAACAAATAAGAGTTCCTCACATTTGCAGGACGAGCTGCCTGGTCTCCGGGTCCTTGGTGGTGTAGGCAGTTAGACCGACTGCGCTGGAGCCCTTCCCAGAGGTGTACTTCTGCCTAACACCTTACAGTTCTAAATCTACCAAATGAGAAATAACTACAGTTTCTCACGTTTGCAAGACGAGCTGCCTGGTCTCCGGGTCCTTGGTGATATAAGCTGTAAGCCCCACAGCGCTGGAGCCCTTGCCAGATGTGTACTGCTGCCTAACACCTTACAGTTCTACATCTACTGAACGAGAAACTAAATAGGAGTTCCTCACGTTTGCAGGACGAGCTGCCTGGTCTCCGGGTCCTTGGTGATGTAAGCTGTAAGCCCGACTGCGCTGGAGCCCTTCCCGGACATGTAATGCTACCTAACACCTTACAGTTCTAAATCTACTGAATAGGAAAAGTTTCTCACGTTTGCAGGACGAGCTGCCTGGTCTCCGGGTCCTTAGTGATGTAAGCAGTTAGACCCACATGTCCTGGAACCCTTCCCATTCATGTATTGTTGCCTAACACCTTAGACTTATAAACATACTGAACAAGATAAACAAGAGTTCCTCACGTTTGCAGGACGAGCTGCCTGGTCTCCGGGTCCTTGGTGATGTAAGCTGTAAGCCCGACTGCGCTGGAGCCCTTCCCGGAGGTGTACTGTTGCCTAACAACTTAGACTTCTAAACATACTGAACAAGATAAACAAGAGGTCCTCACGTTTGCAGGACGAGCTGCCTGGTCTCCGGGTCCTTGGTGATGTAAGCTGTAAGCCCCACGGCGCTGGAGCCCTTCCCGGAGGTGTACTGGCTGCGAGGCATGATCTTGTACACGTACTGCAGCAGCTGAGACTTACTGGTGCCGGGGTCACCACACAGCAGGATGTTGATGTCAGACCTGTGGGAAACAATAGTTTAGCCTTCCACCCACCATCTTTTCAAGCAGATTACCACGTAAACTCGTTTTTCCCAAGAACTTTCAGAGATTGGAACAAACTTCAAGAACACATAGTTACAGCTAAGACTCTACAGGTATTTAAAAATGCCCTCAACAATCCATATTTATTCCAACTACCGTACGGGTACTCACCACCACCCAGCTGTAAGGTGACGAACAGGGAGTAGTGCACCTGCCCATTGAGGAACTAGGTCTCTCTTTATTCTTACACATTGTATCTTACACCACAAAACTCACTTCACAAAACCAAGATACCACCCCTTACACGCTGTGAAGACTTTGAGCCACCAGTCTGAAAGACAAAGTTGTTGACTGAGAAGTTTACCTGAATTTTCCCCTCCCAGCCTCGGTGAAGTCCTTCTTGGTTCCACCAAACAGCTGACACAGGATGCCCTTCTTAATATCCTCGTTTTCGTAGATGCTGGGAGCTTTTGGAAACAAAAAAATTTGGTTGTCAACATTTTATGTTTCACAGCTGGGATGTCAAACCAACAAGTAATGACAAAATTTGCCAAAAAAGTACAGAATACAATTTAGAACTTTTCTTAATTGTACTACAGATAGGGATTCCTCATCATCAATCTTTCCATATCACATAATATACTTGTAATATGCTTGTGCAGCTGACTCCATCTATCTGTTGCCTCAAGTATTGCAGGGTGTGTACTAGATCTTTGCGTTTCTTACCGACTGCTTGAGCCAGGCATTTGTAAATAAACTTTGTGTAACTCAGCCACTCCATCTATCTGTTTCTTCAGGTATTGCAGGGCACGCACTAGATCTTTCATGTGTTTCTTACCGAGTGCTCGAGCCAGGCGTTCGTAAATATCTCCCTGCTGTGACAAGTCCTTTAGCTCTGCCATCCGTTCCTCTGAGATTTTCGTGCCTCTATAAAACAGTAAAAAGCAATGAGGATAACACAAACATGTTTTCAGAAATTTATAGGCCATTAGGCCTACCTGGGGAAGAAGTAAGATGTAGGAAAAATCCAAAATCAAATGGCCAAACATCCTCACACAATGTTAAAGGCCAAAACCCTCGTGGCCGACCAAAGTAGAAGTGGTTTGACAATGTAAGGGAGGACTTCCACCACTTGAACCTACATAACATCACCCCACAGGATAGAGGCAAGTGGTGGGCTACCATCAAGCCTCAGTATGCAGTGCAAGCACATCTAACCCTAGGAAGATGGGGAACAAGAGATGATAAACCCGATAGTGAGTGTGTGAGTGTAAGTAGGGACAGTTAGATGGTCCTACCCATCTCGGTCCTCGGTGAGTCGCTTTGTGTCAAACTTGCGGAAGTGGATGACGTCGATGTGAGTCTTGTACACGGCCTTCACGTTCCGCTGGCGAGGGTTCGGGCGCAGGGGCGTGGCACGGTAGATCCCCGTCACCATCACCCTGAGATGAAACACAACATTGTTTTTACTGCCTTAGGAGAGCAGAATGTTGTCAAGACATTTCAAAAACCTTTAATGTTTAGTTTTCTCTGAAAGCAAATTCTAACCTTGCGCATCACTTTGCAAGAATTCATTTTGAGCTTATATTTGGGACAAGAACTGCGCTCAAATTTGTTATGAACAAATATTCTTGTTTGAAGATGTCAGGAACGAGTAGCCTTCGGTGAATCAACAACAACAAAAACAAAAGAAAGGAATTTTTCAGATGAGTACTAAGTTGTGTACCTGTCTCCTGGCTGTACACTGTCCACCAGGTCATTGTGGGCGTAAACCATGGTGGTGTTGGGGGTCTGGCCGGGGGGCATGTCATCTGTGGAACAAGTGGACCAGAGGTTGTTAGTTCTGGTGTAATAATGTTGACATGGTTCAAACATTTTTTCACTGTACAGGTAGAGTCTTGTAATTGATAGATCAGCAACTGTCTATCCAATTTGCAACTATGTACATGTATGTAAAATTGTCATTGTGTTTTTGCCTGTTTGTCATTAAGTATGTGTGAGTTAATAAAAAAAATACCTGGTGACTCCTGCAGCTTGACCATCTGCTTGTCCCCGAACTGCGAGCGGTTGTGCACCAGCGCCATGCTGTGCTGCGTGCAGCTCAACTACCCCACCTATCTACTTCCTACAGTACTGCAGCTGGAAGTTCGTCTTACCTGGTGACTCCTGCAGCTTGACCATCTGCTTGTCTCCGAACTGCGATCAGTTGTGCACCAGCGCCATGCTGTGCTGCGTGCAGCTCAACTACCCCACCTATCTACTTTCTGCAATACTGCAGCTGGAAGTTTGCCTTACCAGGTGACTCCTGCAGCTTGACCATCTGCTTGTCCCCGAACTGTGAGCGGTTGTGCACCAGCGCCATGCTGTGCTGCGTGCTGCTCAACTACTCCATCTATCTACTTTCTGCAGTACTGCAGGACAAGGATTAACCTCACCTGGTGACTCCTGCAGCTTGACCATCTGCTTGTCCCCGAACTGCGAGCGGTTGGGCACCAGCGCCATGCTGTGCTGCTCAACTACCCCACCTATCTACTTTCTTCAGTACTGCAGCTGGAAGTTCGCCTTACCTGGCGACTCCTGCAGCTTGACCATCTGCTTGTCCCCAAACTGTGAGCGGTTGTGGACCAGCGTCATGCTGTGCTGCTCAACCTGTACCCCACCTATCTACTTCTGCAGTACTGCAGGTAGAAGTGGCTGGTGTGTTACGCTGAAGGGCGGTTATACAGGCTATACCGATATAGATACAGAAGTTCGCCTTACCAGGTGACTCCTGTAGCTTGACCATCTGCTTGTCCCCGAACTGCGAGCAGTTGTGCACCATTGCCACCTATCTACTTTCTGCAGTACTGCAGTACCTTACCTGGTGACTCCTGCAGCTTGACCATCTGCTTGTCCCCGAACTGCGAGCGGTTGTGCACCAGCGCCATGCTGTGCTGCGTGCTGCAGTTTCGGCAGAGCGTCGGCTCGGCGATGCGGCCGCGGTCGATCTCCACGGTACAGGTCCAGTGACAGACGTGGCAGCGGAAAAACGCCACCATCATCTCCGGGACCAGGTTGGACGTACGGATCACCATCCCGCCGATCGTGATCAGCTGGTCAATATCTGGAAAGTAAAAATACGAAGCGTAGAAACTTATAATTACTTTATCAATTTAATAGTATGATGTGTCAGAGGGTGACCATCCTACCAATCGTGATCAACTGGTCGATATCTGGAAGTAGAAAGCCGTAAAAAGTTTGTAAACTTAAAATTGCTAGTTGTTCTTGTGATCAGAGTTTTTAATAAGAATTGGAAGGTTCAAGGTTCGAATCCCTAGTAGACCCTAATGTTTTGTCCTTGAGAAAGACACCTACTTCCTTACTCACCTCATGTTAAATTGAGTACCTAGCTTCATGCATCGATGATGCCTACATTGTTCTATGACACTGTTATAAGAAAACAACATGCATATCCAAACATGTTCATGCAACAGCCACACAAATACAGTTGTGCACCCACTAAACTGCCAAAATAAAACCATCCTGAATATTTCCAGATTCACAGTACCTTCCGGATTAAGGTTCCTCATGTTGGTTGTCTTCTCCACGTTGTAGGGCCTCACCTGGACCTGGCGTTCCAGGCTCGCGTCTGGAAACTTCTCCAGAAAAAGCTCGTTCACGGCAACGTCAAACGTCGGGATGACTTCCTAAAGAACACAGCGGAACACAAAACAGCATTAGGGCTATGTACAGAGCGCAACTGAGCTGCGCCTATCTGTTTTGTGAAGTATTACAACGGCAGTAGCAACAATAGCGTGATGCGACAGTGCAAATGAAAAATGCAAATGCCGTTAATTTGTCAAAATCTACCTGTGGATAACAGATCAGCTGTCTGTACAAGTTGGCGTCGAAATCCTTCAGGTGGCCACAGTTCACGTTCAAGAAAGGCTCTGCAGATATGGCAACCTGCAACAGAAACAAAACAAGATGACTACATGACAGTTTTCGACTAACATGACATGGGCCACTTCAACTTTTCTAAAACAAGAGTGTTGTCTGAATAAGCTATCCGACAGGTTAAAGGAAGAAAAGTGTAACAATTCTTCCGAACATTTCTCAATCTCTTCCTACAATCCTACAGATTTTAGATGGTTTTCATTGGGTGTTTGGTTAATACGATATCTTTTCCAACACTATAAAAAGGATGTTATCCTTAAGTATATGAATACGACCTTAAATAAGACATTCTGCCAGTGCAAATGTTATGCCTGATACATTACGGGTATTACTGCAACAATAATGATTTTATGACCAACCTCCTCCAGTTTCTGCATGTACAGGGGCCGCTGGACGTCGATCCCCTCCATCTCGTCTTCGTCCAAAGACGGCACGACGAACTGCGACAGGAAGCGGCGGAACTTGTCCTTGCAGTGGCTGACCACCACGTCCGTGCCCCAGATGACCAGCTGGGGGCCGCTCGGCTGGTCGCTGGTCACCGCTCCAGACGGTTCCGTCCCGTCAGGCGGGCCCTGGGACAAACAAAACATGGGACTCAATATACATCATCGCCACACAGAGCCGAATATGCCTCCTAAACACTGGCCGAACTCACCCCCAACCATGGTTAGGAGCAGGTCAAGAGAAAGGTCTGCTGTGGTCGGTTGGTATCCTGCAACATGCAATATAATGTAAACCAACACCATGGGGTCAGCTACAGCACCAGTTACCATGGTGACAGCAGTCTGGTCCAGGTCATTGACCTTCTTTGTTTGGAGAAGAAGAAACACAGAAAAAACTGCGAAGGTAAACATAAGAAATATCTACCTGAGCCTCGGACGCCAGGTTGACCTCCCTCCTCTTGCGCTCGCTCCTGATGTCGGCGCGGACACGAGTTCTTGGAGTTCCCGCACTATGGCAATGGTTAAGGATCGGGCTAAACGACTGTCGGAACTTTACTCATTATCACGAAACATTCACTCGTAATGCGTACCAAGAACAAACAACTACTCTTCATGACAGGTTTAGCACATTTGCTAGGTTGCGAATTTGAAGTTGAAGAAAATAATATATGTATTGTTGTAACTGTGATTATGTTTCATGTTATTGGCATTGTGTAGTAACTGTGTTGAGTATTGTACATAAAAGTATATGGTAATTCCAATAAAGTCTCAAAGTCTCCAAGTGGAGATTTCACTGAGAAACTAAAAACGAGGCCAGGAATAGAGCGAACATCTCCAGATTTACTGTACATCATACCTGTGTGGTTCATTTGCATACTACTGCGATCATTTGCATACTTGTGCTTATCATGAGATTCATTTGCATAAAAAGGATACACACTCCCCCTGGGTGTGCTGCCCACCCTGGAACTAGGTGTGCCATAGTTCAGGGGTGAACTCAGGTCAATCTCACTGGCAGCTGGAAAACACATCATCAAAACACCTCTTAGTCAAATTAACTTGATAGAACTGACCAAGTATTACTCAAAATGTACATATAAAATGTACATATCAAATAATGTACATATGTTCAAGACAGGTCTTTTAATCTCCAAGCAGATACTGTGGGGAAAGGGAAGTCTATATTCACCTCTTGTAACCATTAAACTTGTGGGGCAGCCAACGGTTACAGGCGGCCAATTTAGACTCCCGTTCCCCTACAGAATCTGCTTGGAGATTAATTTTCTTTCGACAGACAAGACAAGAGCATAGCCTGACTAAATCTGCGCTCCTATCGGCCGGCCTGGTATTACACCAGGGCGGCTGGTGTAATACCGGGCCGGGCGCTAGGAGCGCAGATTTAGTCAGGCTAACAAGAGCAGATTAACAGAGACAACATCAGCAAGAACAACAACTTGCGGTAAGACTGACCGGCGCGAGATGCAGCAGGACTGGAGAACAGCGAGGTGTCGGCCACGTTCTGCCGCTGCTCCTGGGAGGGGGGTGACGACGGGAGGGGGGCGAGGCTGCCCCCGGGGGAGGAGTCCAGCGCTGCAGGGGGGGAGGACGGCTCCGTGCTGCGGCTGCTGCGAGTGCTGCGCCGTGACGCTGTGGGGGTCACACCAGGTCATGGCAGTGTTCAGTTAGAGACCATATGACAACAATAATACTAATGTACAACAGTTCCGAAAATAGTAAAACGCGGTAGGCATTATTCAAGGTAGCTTGGAATACATCTGTGAACGCTGTTTCTCTGCTCTGTTGAGGCAGAACAGAGGAACAGAGCAGAGACACAGCAGGCTATATTCAAAGAACAAAGACGTTTGGACCAAACCTAGACTCCTCTGATATCAGAGAACATCGACCCTTGTTCATTTGTAGTAAGTTATTTATTGGAAGTTCATGCCCTTCATAAATAGTACTAGTAGAAATTAATTATGCAAGAAAGCCCAGATAACTTCGTACAATAGTACTGACTGTTAAAACTGAATTCATAATACATTTGTACATACAAATTGCAAAATGTAGCTTAACCACGGGAAAGATGTAGGTAAAGTGAATACTTACGTGTATCGTCTCCACCCCTGCCCCTTTTCTGTGCACCCCTACGCGGTGTGCTTCTTGTGCTTCTGGGTGACGACATCTTGTAGATGGGTATCAGTACACGTTATCAGCAAAACTGTGATAGGTTAAACAATCATGTTACACAAAATACATTTCGGTTCCCCATATTAAATTACAAGAATATATTAATTGAATTCAAATATTTCTATATGATTTTATATTTCATAATACATGTATCTTAATATTATGATTAAAATTAAAATATTACAAAATTGTACTACTTGTAAATGAGTGTGACTTGAATTTCCCAAATTTTGCAGTTAGCATATAAAGGCAGTGAGAGTGAGAGGCTACTATACAGAAACAAGAAAATATGGTGAACCTTAAAAATTCTATTCAGGTAAAAAGAGTACTGTACCAAATTATTCAATTATCCTGATAAAAATTCAAGTCTTTATTATAATCGGAGCAGAATACGGTGATATAATAGTATCTAATTTGGGAAATTTCACGACAAAAACATATTTAGATTTTTCACGTTGCTAACAAAAACCGTAACCGCCATATTGCACCATGGAAAGAAATAATTTGAAGTAGTAGTTGAAGTACTGTATTTTTAGACCACTTCGCTACCGTGCTAACTCAAACCTATACACCCAAAATACACAGATTTCCCGCAGTAGATTCTTTACACATTCATAAAGATATCAGTACACATATTTCACAAAAAATGCCTCTACCTTTTGAACAAATCTGGACAAAAAACGTGGTACGCACCTCGCAAGTCTTCGTCCTCTGTTCCTCTAGCCCGCGAATTTAAATCACGTGTGCAAATTTCGCGGGAAAACGGTCACGTGGTCATCATTTGGGTCAAAGGTAAATTTTTTTTCTTAAAAACCTCAAGTTATCCTCTGTTTTATTACATCAAAAATTATTTTAATAAAATTAGTATACAAAAAAGTAGTAAAAGTAAATATCAAATTTTGTTATGAAAAAAAGTCAAGAAATTTTCCCGCCAAAGGTCGTAGGTCATTGGCGCGCGGTTTGAATCCCAAACAAAATGGCCGGAGTAGTTCCTTCAACTCCTCCGAACTCTTCGTGTTTTCCGGAGTCTCAGATCACACAGAGTACTCCCGTGAGGGCAGGCGCCAAGGTACCGCCTGGGCACATCATCGTGAGCGAGAAATGGAGAGGTTCTGCTCTTGTAAAAGGGCTACAGGGCAAGTATGCGTTAAAAAAATATAGCCTAGATACTAGCCGTGGACGACTCTGGTACACCTTTTTGCATGATAATGCCGGTGACACCGGCATTATCATGCAAAAAGGTGTACCAGAGTCGTCCACGGCTACCTAGATACCATCTTGGTTAGTTTACGTTCGCTCCCACAGTCGCTACCAGTATACTTTACGGCTCTGGTCAATCAACTAATCAATCATCCGTACGCATCTGAAACAGATACATGCCAGCTCTTTAATAGCCATTCTATTTCTTCTAATAGCTCTATCTGTCTTTCTTCCCTATCTTCTTTTCCCATCTTCTGCCTCCAAGCAAGGAGGTTAAAAATATCAAGCCTCCTAGCTCCCAAGTCAAGTTGTGGAGTGGACCTAAGCGGACCCAGATGTCAGCCAGATCATGTCACCTTCACCCTTATCTTGTTGTGGCCTTGGATGGGGTCGTTGACCTGTGCACTGCTGTCCATACATACTACTAGTACAGGTAGCCTGGTTACCAGACCTAATTTATAGCTCCAGAGTCCCACATCCTCTCCGCAAATAGCTATTGACTCGGAAGCTATTTATACTAGCTATTTAGACTTTCGAAAGGCATTCGATTCCGTGCCAATACAACGACTCCTAACAAAAATCGCAAGCTACGGTATGAAAGGGAAACTGCTACAATGGATTGCCTCATTCTTGTCAGACCGCAAGCAGAGAGTATGCGTTAATGGAGCGCTGTCAAGTTGGGCTGAGGTAACAAGCGGAGTACCGCAGGGAAGTGTCTTAGGACCTGTGCTCTTTACAGTCTTTGTAAACGACATGCCTGAAGCAGTAACAAGCCAGCTGAAGCTATTCGCAGATGACACAAAGATGTACTGCCCTGTGACCCAAGAAAAACACTGTGAAGAGCTCCAAGCGAACCTCTACAAACTAGAAGAATGGTCAACTAAATGGCAGCTGTGTTTTCATCCGGACAAATGTACAGTGCTAAGGATTGGGTCAGGACATCCACCATATACGTACACAATGAAGGGCAAATCTGGTCTGATACCATTAAAATTTACTACGGAAGAGAAAGACCTTGGGATCATAGTTGACCGGGACTTGAGTTTTGAAAAACATATCGAAAAAAATGACAGCAAAGGCCAACCAGCTCACAGGTCTTCTATGGCGGACCTTTGAGTACATCGACACAGAGGTCTTCTTACTACTCTACAAATCACTGATTCGACCACACCTTGAATACGGTGCACCTGTTTGGTCCCCACACCAATGGAAGCAGGCCGACCAAATAGAAAACGTACAAAGAAGGGCAAGTAAAAGGGTGCCTGGTCTAAACAATCTACCATATGAGGAGAGACTTAAGGTGCTTAGGCTCCCGACACTGGTATATAGAAGAATACGTGGGGACATGATCATGACCTACAAATACATTCATGGGAAGCTGGACACAGAGGGTTGCCTACCAAAAATGCAAGAGAAAACAAGAACAAGAGGGAACAGCTTACGACTAAACAAAAGATCAGTGAAGAACAACAAAAGACTGTTTTTCTACAGCAACAGGGTAGTAACATGGTGGAACAGTCTACCGGAAGAGGTGGTGTCAGCCCCAAGTGTGAACAGTTTTAAAAATAGACTGGACAAACACATGAGAAGTCATCCAGTGGTGTACAACCCCCGGGCATTGGACAACCCCCACAAGATGACCATGTCTACGCAGTAAACTACAAGGAGCGGCTCAAAGTGGAAGAGAACTTCCTACCGAGACGAAAGATCTACTCTACTCTACTCTACTAGTTATAGGTCTAGTAACCAGGCTAACATCAACGTATCAGTCCTCTAACTGTTGCTGTCACTGGCGGTTATTTACCATAATTTATTGGTGGATGCTGATTGGTCACAGTGTTTATGGGATTTAATCACTGGTAAGGTTATGGTGTCATAATTTTAATAAAATTAATATAAACCAATATGAAATGGGGCCGGACTTCTGATTTGTCCACGTCACCTGGCTATATGATAATACATGTATGTCTAGGTGGCATCCTCCGTTTTTTGTATGGGATGGTTTTTGTTTGTTTTGCATAACCGGTAAAGGCGTAACAACACACCAGTTTTGTACATTTAGTACAAGCTGCGTAAGACCGGACTTTAAGGTTTGGTTATGGGGTCCTATCAAATTGAATGTACCTTGCTATTTTTTTACTCCACTTGTTTTCAGGCAAGGACAGAAAGGACGCATATGGAGGGGGCTGACAATGGATGCAACCATAGTCACTCCCTGATCCTGGAGGATAGGACAAGGCATGCCCTAAACAAGAAGGTTTGAATATTAAAGAATAACTTCCTTGCCCTAAACTGTGTTCTGAACTCCACAGGAAAAGTCCAGCTTGTTGTGGAGGATGGACTGGGAGTGGTGGACTTCCACACAGGAGACAGGACAGCCGTGGTGTACGTCACGGAAGTGGACCTGGTCGAAGGCAACGCTTTCAAGAAGAAAATCGTCAAGCTGAGACGCGTAAGTCTGGGGGCTTACTTACCTGTAACTCCCTGTAATTTACATACATTATTGTTAATGTGTTGCTCAGGTTATAAATGATTGTAAGTTGGTCAAAAAAATTAGTCCCAGATTCCTGCAACTTACACAATTAAGTGTGTAATGCATACGGAATAACTTGACACATGCACATTGCTGTCAGATTGTCAACATTTTAGTCTGTGCAATCATTTAAGTCTGTACAGTCGATGGTGTCATAACAAAACATTTAAGTCTGCACAATCATTGATATATACACTTACATAGCAATAAACAGAACTTTAGATACAACCTCCTAAGTAACCTAGTTTCCTCTGTCCTGTCCTGTGCAGGTGGAGTATATCCGAGGAGTTATCCTGGTGGACAGGACCTCCATGACAGACCAGTACTTCCCTGCAGTCCAGAGGTTTGTGGTGCTGGAACTGGGCATGAAGCTTGTACCTGTCTGCTCACAGTCTGAGGCAGCACAGGTGCTCATTGCCATGGTAATACATGTTCACATATCCACATAGATTGATGATCATCGTCACAGTATGTCAGTGCTTATCACTGAGGCAGACCATTTGTTTTGTTTTAGATAGATTGACTAAGAAGGTTTGCCTAGCTGGCAACTTGAAAACTTTGCATTGAGAGTAAAGCGCAATTGAAAGTCTGCAATATTTGAGGCTGACAGCTGTATATCCCCATCCAAAAGGACGATTGCAACCACAAACAGCCATGCAAAGACGGGCTTGAACCTTAGCCCTCTGGATAGGCTGGGAGATACAAAAATGATAACAACCATATTTACCAGTCTGTATTTGTTAGTAACTAATATAATTAGTGTGTGAGTGAATAATTACGTAGTATGATTTTTGTTTTGCCATACATTGGTCTTCTTTCTCTCCCAATCTCACCAACAGGTAAACGAAGACAGCAGACACACCGGGAACCCCTTCCTGAGGAAGAAAAAAGCTCCCCCTGTCGAGATGGCCATTTACAGAGTACTGCAGTGTTTCCCACGGTTAGGAGGTGTCAAAGCTAAACAGCTGCTTGCAAAGTTTAAAAGTAGGTGTTTTACCTGAAATTTGACTTTGAACTTTCTTTCCTGTAATTTGTTGTCAAGGTGAGAAACATAGTGTATCAATGTTGTTTGGTTTCTCTTTGCACAACCAATAACCTAACGACTATCTGCTACCTTCCTCAGAGCAATACCAAGTACTGACTGGGTCTGCTCCACTCATGAATTGTGATGACTAAAACAAATCATTTTTCTTAACAGGTTTACACGGGATATGTCAGGCTTCAGAACAAGTGAGTTTTACACATCCTATCTTCTTTCTTGAAAATCCTCACACATCATGTGCTTATATACCGGTAAGTTATAATGGCAGTAGGCTAATGCAGCAGCTGGGAAGGAAGCAAATTTTGCCAAGATGTAAAAGAAATTATTACCATGTGTAACACTGAACTTGAGTTCAAATAGAGCATTTAGTTTAAGTTAATACGACACACCAAAAAGCAGTTACTCAAGCAACTGGATATGATTTTTGATTTTCCAAAATCATATCCAGTTGCTTGAGTAACTGCATTTTGGCGCATTTAGCCTTAAGATACACTGTGTATGTTTAGAATTATGTAGCTCTGGTAATGAAGAAATATGTACAGCGTAGTGTAAGTACAGTTCAGTCCACTGAACTTCCTATGTTCTTTGACCTAATTTTTCCACTTTGACCCAAGAGGTCTCTTTTTGAACCTCCTTGTTTGACCTAATTTCCCAATTTTTAATTTTTTCCACACTGCAGGAGACATGGTTTACGACAATGTGACGTCTCCTGCAGTGTGCTAGAAGTGGAGAAGTTAGGTCAAACAACACAGGATGTTGAGTGCATTAAACCATAGTGACACCTTGCTAACATAAACCAGGGCTGTCTCCAGCTCTCAAGCTTTCTCCTTCCTGTTGTTTTCATCCATCCTGATGGAACACTAAAGGTTTTTACCCACTGAAAGGCTAATAGTATTTCTCTCAGTTCGGGACTTCGTAAGTGACAACCTGATGAAAATGTTTTGAAGTTTCGATTTTCACAGTATTTTTTTAATCCTTGATTGTGATACCAAAGGTGTATAGATAGAGGATGTTTGTAATGCAAATTGGTACCAAACTTTACTAGGGAATACGATCAATCGCCATGATGTCACGGCCAGCTAGTGGTAGGCAAAAAGTGGGTGATGGTTGGCTGATTTACCTACCAATAATTTGCATATGTCTTCAACTAATTTGCATGTATATGATATAAACAAAAAACAGCAATCGTTTGTATTAGGTCTTCCTGTAGGTAGTCCATGACGAGGATGGGACAAGGTGAAGGTGACTTTCAGAAGGTGAAGGTCTTCCGTGGGTTTCCCCTTACCTAGGATGGCCTTATATGACCCCTACCTCACAATACTGATTTAATTAACCTTCTTAGTTTAGGGCCCAATCAGATCAGGGCATGATCGTTGACCCATGACCTTTGGGGTTAGCTATATTGTACATCCATGACCTTCAATCTTCCCTGAGGTCAAGGTTAAATAGAGGACATGTCCTAACTGAGATCTTTTTGCATTTTTCACGCCTTCAGGAGTTGGCAGTTGTCGTTGGCAGGGCCGGAGCAGCGCAGATCAGAGGTTTCATCTCATACCAAACTCCGAACAGACGGTTCTCCATGGATACGTCCTACAGATGACGACACCGTTTGTAACTATCCTACGAAAGGGAGAAATGCCGCAAATGAGGCAGGGCCAGAGCAGCACAGATCAGAGATTTCATCTCATAACTGGCTCCAAAAGGATTGTTTTCCATGGATACGTCTAACAGATGATAAGACCATTTGTAGCTATCCTATGAGGAAACGTTGCAAATGCTGCCAAAGTCCTTGCCACATTGACAGTTACAAATGAACTTGAAAGCTGTGTCAGAAGAAAGGTTTAACAAATTTATTTACATGACGTATCAACATTCAGTATGTAAGAAACTTGCTACCAGTATCTGTTCAACCTTGTAGTACATAAATGTACCGGTACTAGGCATAAATGAGGCTTAAACATCTTATTTGGTTGATGTACATCAAATACTGTATTTTCTTGGGAGAATCAACAAACTGCTTTGATATATATCTTTAAGATGTTCATACATCTGTATAACTGGATAATCCAAGATGATCCGTGATCAGCCAAATGATTCATTAAGTATGAATCTGCTACAATGATGTGTGTAGATGTGTTTTCATATATCTTCGAAAGGCGATACCATTACAAAACAAGACCCCGGCAGCTAGCTAGGCACTTTGAAAACAAAACCCCGCCAACTGGAATATGCAAAATAAGCGGAGGTCCCCCGCTTGGCGCAACCTTGTCTGGAATGCCACTGTCAAGTCCATCGATCATGTCCCTGGTGAACTTGGCACATGGCTTATAAACCCCCACTCTTCTGCTAAAGCATTGACATCTGCTATTTACATAACTGTAACCTGTAGTCCTTGCCACCAGCCACTACTGAACAGTAGCACACAGTTCTAGCAACAGTGCAACGACCTGAGGTAGTCATGTCCTTGGCCGAATTTCTGGTTCCTGCCCTCCAGAGCTAAGCTGGCACTTTGCCTGGTGGTGTTATTTGAAGTAGGTCGTCGCTATACATAGAGGAGTTATCCAAATGTAGGGTCAGAGAAAGTCAAATGTCTGACTTGAACTGAGATATAGACTGGAAAAAGCCTGCTACTATCTTCTAGAATATGAAGAGCTGTACTATATTTTTTTTGTGTTCAAGTTTCCATTGTAAATGTTGCAAACAATGTACAGCATAAAATTTCCTTCACAAACATGGTGACTTTGAACTCCATGATAGCTGTCACGTAATAAGAAACTTTAGCCTTGAATCTGGTGACATTACTAGGTCATACCAATCTAATCTCTTGGTTCTCAGATTTCGTAAGGCATGAATTAAAATACTGTGGATAATAGACTTCCTTTTTACCACTCTATCTGCAGCTAAATTTAAATTCCGCTCCGCCCCTACCCCCACCAACCGAACCACCCCCCGCCCCCTTTCAAAAGCTCTACTGGTGAATCAAATTGTAAACTCATGGGACAGCAGGGCTAGAAATAATCTATTTCTCCAAGATATATTAATTGACTTACACTTAAAGGCACGATTACCTATAACTACTAGTATGACACATGAGCACAAAAAGAGTGTATCACAACACTTGTTTACTTGCACAATTGCTTGCTAAGTTTCTAGTTTTCTTACCAACAATTTCATTGTTCTCATCTTCATCTTCAGATTGTAGGTAGGCATTTTGAACCCTGGACAGTCATTCATGCCACAGCTGGATCCAATAGAAACTCCCTGATTCTGCAAACCTATGAAGTGCCAAGTGGGTGAAGGTTTTGTTAAGAACAAGTTCAGCAAGATTTGGTAGAGCCCATAAGCCCTTTTTTTAAATTTCTGACAGGCTTGCACACAAAGTTCTTGATTCATGGCTTTGACGCTTCATTTGTTTCTGATTCAAAACCAGTCATGTACCATTTTCACCTGAGGGAAGGTGTAAAGTGCCTTTCACAACACAACATTGGATTCTGCTTAGCCTAGATGGCTGACCCATAACTAGTACACTGGGCAAAGTAATACAGTGCACAGGATAACTTTGGGCCAGTGTGCTTAATCTCCAAACAGATTCTATGGGTGGCTGCAATACAGTATCCAATTGGCAAGACAGTATCCAATTGGCAAGGCAGTATCCAATTGGCAAGGCAGTATCCAATTGGCAAGGCAGTATCCAATTGGCAAGGCAGTATCCAATTGGCAAGGCAGTATCCAATTGGCAAGGCAGTATCCACTATGCCACCCAAGTGGGGTAGCACATTGTTACAGGTAGCCAATATACTCCCCTTGCCCCTAAGAATCTGCTTGGAGAATATATACTAGTAGTGTGCTTTGGGTCTGGCATCCAGGCTAGATTCTGCTTGGGCTGCATCAAATAAACAAATTTTCACCTCACAAATTCTAGGCTGAACCATCTACCTAAACTACTTGGACAATACTTACTTAGTAATCACATGGATACAAATGCCCCATTGGCCAGAGGTCTGTTACTAAAAATTTCACAGCTGATCAGATAAGATACGCTGTATTTACAGACATTTTGTACACCTCCGAGTCCTTGGGACTCTGATACATGTGGTTTAACATGTGATGGCTGATCCTAATATTGTACTCTCCAAGCAGATGGAGGTTTGGGTTATTTTGGGCGTGTTTCTAGGCTTTTTCATCTGGGTTTCTTATTTGCACTGAAATTTTTGGGTGAAAAAAATTCCGGTGAAAAAAATAAACCTCGATAAAAAGCCTAAAAGCTCACCAAAAATAACCTAAAATCCAAACCTCTGCTCTAATGATTGAGATACAGTAGTCAACAAAAATTATGTTTCATAATACTTGTGTAATTCGAAATTTACATTTTGCTCCTAAAAGCTGTTTCAACAATATTTTTCACACCGGCAGTTGGCATTGCACAATATTGGCAAAGGTATGTCACCTGTACTGTACATCTATGACACACTGTCATGTGATCATGTGTGTTGACGTGCCCAAACATGTTCATTTCCTGCAAGGACAAATTTTCTGAAACATTATTCTTGCCTGCAGAATACTAATTAAAATATTTTATCAGTACTAGTATTACACATTGTTAGTTCAGTTGCAAGTCAAATCGCAGACATTTAAAAACATCAAAGTACTCCCCCCAAACAACGACCATAACAAGTTGTCAACAACATCCATATTGTGGACACAGTTTGACAGTTCTGACTACAAAAACCACAAGAGCAAATAATAGTTCATCTATAATATAACCAAAGTTGACCCCTCTGACACCTTCCTATGTCGGTTACAATTACGTAAACATCAGTTAGAAAAGCAACCTTTGCTTTTCAGCTATTTCTTCCGGCAGGATTATGCAATTCTTGACATCAGAAAGATTCCAGCCCAGTCCTGTCTTGTCCCTTTCTCTTCTGGTCCAGATATTATTCTGGACCAGGAAGACGCCCACCAGCTGCCAGCTGATTTACCCGCAACCTGCATACTCAAAATGACAGTTGTTTTAAAAAAGCAAACAATCACAAAATATAAACCTCATCACGATCAACCCTTTTCCGGTGTAATTATTAGAGCTAGAGCTGAAAATTTGGGTTAATAAATACGTACGTGGACGTATATTTAGGAGTTTTAGGGTGATATTTATTTTTGTGGTTGGAGCGTGATGCATGTTCCGGGGCCGTCCTCAGGTAGTGAAAGATGTGGAGAATTTAAACTGTGCACATGCGCAGTGGGTAAAGGCTAATCTGGGCTAGAGTCGCCATATTGGAGTTTTCCTTCAGCTGCAGGAGAGCGGGCGAGTTGTGAGTCCCCTGGAAAACAAAAAGGAAAAACTCTTCTTTCTCCCTCGCGCGTTGTATTGGAACCACGTCGGGTTGCTGGTCCGAGGCCACACAGTCTCCGTGTGTTGAATGGATCCACGAATTGCCTGGATTCAGCCGGAACAGCTAGGACAGGCGCACCAAACGTGGACACAAATCTGGCTGACGGCGCAAGGTCTGAACCAGCTGCATCTCAACGGTAACTCCAACACCAACCTGGATTCCAACGCTCCAGTCACCCCGCCTCCTCCTCCTAGGAACGATGGGGGACAACAGCAACAAAATTCCGCTCAGGAGTATATTCCATTGGACTCAAACAGGGCCCCGAGGCCGCCCCTACCGAACAGTGCAAAGAGAAAAAGAGACAACCGAGCAAGCACTTATAACTGTGAACCTGAGGGGGGCACTCCATGGAAAACACGGCATTATGCTGAGGGAGTGATCGGGTACGTATATAGCCGCGATTTCCGGCGAAAATCCGCCCAATTATTCTCCTGCCTTGCCCAACAAGCGCCTTGTTTATGTCTTGGGTTTAAACTGTTTAGATTTTGGGGGGAAATTATACGGGTTTGCACGGGTAGGAAGCCGTGCTATGCGCTGCCCCTCCTCCACCTTTTAAACCGTAACGGACTCCACACATGGAGGTGGGAGGGGGGCGTAAAATAGTCACCGATTATCGTAAAACCCCGTTAACAAGGAATTAGGGAAGCTCCGCCAAGAATATAGGTGTGTTTGTGGGTCAGAAAAACCGAGCCAGCAACCCAGTTACACAGAAACGTTTGATAGAACGCCCCAATGTACACAAATGCACAGTTACACAACATCCGCAGTAAACACAAAATATGTCATAGATTAAATAACTTACGCAACGACATCAAATTGTCATTCAAACCAAACTTTAAAAGATGAGAACATGTACAGATGTGTAGAAAATTTGGAAGCATTTGTGACCATATAAATTTACCAAAATGGCAACAGAGCAGAATTTTGAAATGAACAAATTTTTCTAGGTACGTTGGTTAATGTTACACCCTTTTTGCATGAAATTATGAATGCAAAACTTGTGCCTCCGTGTTGAAAGAATGTATTTTTATGTTGTTTTCTTTTTTTGCGCTATTTTTTTAGACAGGAATGCAGACTTACTACCTTGTCAAGGGCGCTGAAAATGAGGTCTTGACCTTACTAAGTGTCGTCGTGTGTACAAAATAACAACTTTGGATTTCTGACAAGAACACCTTAACTTAAGTTAAACTGTTTCATGAGTTCAAGATATTTATTGTATTGGTGTACAACATAATTATTAGTACTTGAGGTTTTGGTAAAGAGCCTGCAACACAACTTAAGTCTATTTTTGCATGAACTGTTTTCAATCATTCCAGCTCTGCCTCCTTTCTAGTCCTTCACTTAGAACGTTGCAACTGAGAGGAAAATATAAGCGTCAAACATGACTCTCTTAAGGGTGGATTTCCACCCAGCATTCACACCTGTCCATTTCGGTACAGACAAAGCTAGACGGAAACAAACACAGCTTTTCAACAGTCGCAAGTATCAAACACACCAGTCTTCTCGGTTACTCCACCGGCCCCTCCCCCTCATTTGCTATTCAGATCACACTTCAGCAAACCGCCTTGGGTTGTTATTCTGTAGAACACCTCGTAGGTACACCGGTGGAAAGACCTGAATACCTTCACACCTAGAAAAGGGAGCGTTGGGGTTTTATTATCGAGAATAACAAATACAAAGAGTTGGTCACAATAGACATGGGTGTGTTCGGCTAGGATTTTAAATTTCTGCCTTTAACCGTTACTTAATGAAGTGTCTTTTTTTTCTTACAGTCTTTTAGGGTCATAATTTATTGAACCGTACAGTAAGACGATTTGCAATTTATGGCTTATAATGGCAGGATATGCCTTAGGGCGAAAATTCAAAAGACAAGGTGACTGAACCGTACACAAGAAGATATGACCCAGAAATAAATGAGTGCTTCCAGCAAGGATACATACGTCACGTTTGGTTATCTCCAAGCAGATGTTGGGTTGGAAAATCATCTGGTTTTCTGACAATTTTTTTTCTGACGGTCCTTTATGCGGCACAAAAAATGGCCATCAGAAAACTTAATGATAACTATCACAGAATCTGCTTGGAGATTATCCCAAAATCCAAAAATGTGGTGAAAATAATGCAAGTGGATGTTTGTGTGTGTGTGTTTGTGTGTATGGTTCCTTTCATTGATTCAATCCAGATCAGATAGAATTTAAATCAGGGCTGACTTGCATTAGAAACCCAGTGTTGGGGCATCAAATGTCAGTCAGTATGATATCATTACTATGGAAGGTACAACAACATGTAAGTACTGGAGACTGGAACACTTATAGATTATGAGGGCAATGCAAAGGGGGCACATGGAATTTTATGTGAAAATAGTAACGTGTCATTCTTGGGGTAAAAAAAAACATTGTGTCATACTTATAGTTGAAGGATATCCACCTGTGGTCCTGTATTATCAGTAGTGGTCTGAATTTTACTACATTTTTTATCCAGTAAACTATAAATTGTTCACGAATTCTACCCCTTCTGTTCCCAACATGTTTACAAATGTTCTGGGGTCTGAAATCCTGCTAGACTCGTGTCGACCTTACACGGATCATTTACATGGGGTGACCTACTCTCCAAGCAGAGGTTTGGGTTTTGGGGGTATTTTTAGCGTGTTTTTAGGCTTTCTTATTAGGGTTTCTCTTTTGCACTGATTTTTTTTCCCACCAACCCCAAAAAAAATTCAGTGCAAAAGAGAAACCCCGATAAAAAAGCTTAAAAACACGCTAAAAATACCCCCAAAACCCAAACCTCTGCTTGGAGAGTAGGGGTGACCTGCAGCGGATGGAAACAGCTCAGTTGCAGACCCTGGATTTTTTTCCCAGCTCAGTTAACACAATATGATATTACCAAGGCATAAAAGCTGTGTATGTACGTGTGTTTCATCACGGCATACATTCAAGTTGTGTTACATCTCTTGGAACTATTTTTAAGTATGAATACTACTGGAAGACATATACTGTTTTGAGAAATGATCATGAGGCCTAACAAAATAAATG